CCTAACAAATTACATTAAATTTGATTACATTGAAATTTACAACATTTTATTTTAAAAAAATATTAAATAATTAATTTTAATCATTTTAAGATAAATTAAATTTTAAATCACATTTAAAAACATTAATTTTTCGTTACAATTAAATACGAATATCGTTTAAAGAGGGAACTCATTTATGGCCTCGATGACGTGACGTCATCAGGTGTTATGTGTTTCAGGTGTGGGGATGTTATGTCGAATAGAAAGTTTACAATTTGTATTTTGTGACACAAATTAGAAAGGATTTAAAAAAATCCACGTTTCTAAATACTTGTTTAGACGCAGATTTCCATAAATATCGGTGAGTAGACGTGAATAATTCGCCATTTTTTTTTTTTCTTCTTCTTGCTGTAGAAATACAGCTATGGGAGATTAGGCTTAGATATGCAAAATAATATTTGATAGATAGCAATTTAATTTTATTGAAATTCATTAATTGATTTTACATGCAATTGTTTGAATTTACGGAATAAATAAAGACGAATTAATAATATTTTTTTTTTACTATTGAATAGAGTAACTGTGTTTTTGTTAAAAGACTAAATACCTGTTGTAGTGTTGTTGACACTTGAAGTTATGATTTCATTTATTTTGATAACAAGTGTATAAGGATTATTTAATTATAAAAAAAATGCATTTTAATTTTGTATATATTTTTTAATTTAAAAATTATCTATTTCATTATTAATTATGTTTAACTTTTTATTAATATAGACTACTTAATTATTATCATTGTTAATTATGTAATAATTAATTATAGATGTTGGGATTTTGGATCTACTTATTTTTTATATAATTATATGTATATTATAGATGTTAATATAGTTTATGTATGTTTGTCTTGTTTTCTTTATCGCTTAAGATATTTTTAAAATATGCTTTTATATGCTTTAAGATAGATAAGTTTCAAAATATCTATCCTGATCTTAAGATTGTGTGTTTGTCTTATTAACTGCAAAATAGTTTTTAAACGTTTGCAAATTTCCATTTCAAATTGATTATTACAATCTATACTAATATTATAAAGAGGTAAAGTTTGCAAGTTCGGATGTAGGAGGTAATCTCCGAAACTACTCGTCCGATTTCAAAAATTATTTCATCAATATTTAGAATAGACCTTCGGGGTGGACGTAGGCTGTATATTATTCTGTTAAACATTCATATAAATTAAAAGATATCATCTAGGTAAACGTTATATTTTTGGTGTCGGCAAGTGGCGAGAAGCAAGATGTTTACGTATACGAGATAGGTAACTGCGCGGTGTAGTCGCGTGGTCGGCTAGAAATGCAGTGCACGTTTAAGAACTTGTATATTATATAGATGTCGAAATTCCCCACTGCAAAGGAGAGGAACAAAATTAAGGATTACCGTGAAGAACTCGGCTTCTATTATACTATTTTGCGTTTTAATAGGGTATGTCGAGAATGTACACTAAGAAGGGATTTTTTGAAATTCCCTCTTGCGGGGAGTGTTATACATTTATAATAGATACATTTTGAGCCTCAGCAAGCGTGGCTGGGTACAGCTAGTACTAGTATAAAGCAAAGTTTGGAAATACTTAGATACTAATTAATGTAAGATGGTGCATAATATAATAACAGCTTTGTTAATAAATTATATCAAATTGAAAAGTATAAATGTTGCACATTTGAAAAATTTCTTTGCTGTATGTTATTCAAAAAATCAAAAAAGTCTTGTTAAGTTGAAGGTTATTAGGTAGAAAAGCTTGATCTCTAGTTAATGAGTTTAATACTCAATTTTCTCAAAATTTTCTATGGCCAGAAATTTCCATTATTGAGTCATTTCTCGTGAATCTGTTCACAGAATGATTAAAAATTTGTATACGGTTTATAGTGCCTTTTGAATGCTGGCGTCTCATTATGTCCTATTTAGAATGCTGATAACATACATCAATAAAAGGATGTCAACACAAGGTTGTAATGGTATGGTGTTGTGTTCTGCATGGAGCAGTAATGTTTATCTTAATTGTCTCTGTTCATACAGAATGTAAGAGAAAAAAAATCAAAATTACTTACTGGGATATCATCACAATTCCAGGCTGAAAGTTTTAATCATATTTTAATTTTACTAAAAATTTTGAATTGAAATCATGTGACTTCCAGTTTAGACTGGAAGTTTGTATATAACACAACCATGTATCTATAAACCTTTTACCAGTGTGCATTTCATCACACTCTACAATTACGTTACAAACATTTTCGAACCGTTACGGTTCTTCTTCAGGTAACAGTCTCCTAACGGAATGCGGTTTGATGATGTTAAGAAATACGATCCGGAACGATGTCCCCCCGATGATGTCACTATGGACTTGTGCATTATACATGTGTTCTATCCAAGAGATTTATCTAGTAGGGCCTCGATATCTAGATTTCGATATCGAGATTTATCTAGTAGGGCTGCCAGGTCGTCAATAGAGCGATTTCATCCTTGTAGTTAATGCAGTTACATTCTTTAAACGTGTTTAGGCATATGTAGATCGCCTCCAGCCATCTGAGATGGTTCGTGCGGTGGGTGGTGTGAATGACCTTTGCTTGAGAGAATATGGGTTCTGTTCTATGTTAGGATCTGACACGTATACGGCCAGAGCTGTGTTGGTTCTTTCATGGTTAATATTTGCTTTATGCTCTTTGATCCAGGTTACGAGGGGGACGTTTGGTTGATCTTATGTGGATCATGTTTCTATCACACCTGTGATCAATGATAGGGATGGTGTAGACACCGGGAAGCTTATTTTGGTCTGGGGTGTCTTTTCCATTTCATAACAAATCAAAAATCGTAGTGCATCTTCTAATTGTAATATGGATATTATTTTTCTTAGCTATCTCCTTGTATATGGATTTTAGCACCAGATTATATGTGATAGGGATGTTGCTACTTGGAATAACGTTGGAGAGTTGGTGACGGTTTGCTTCCTGCTGTATTTTTGTGTTCAGTTTATTTATGAGCCCATGGTATCCGTGCTGTTTGGCTATATCCTCTGTGTTTCATTTTGGACCGGAATGCTGTTTGGGAAGAAGAGTGTATACTATGTGCGATATCATCTACTAGTGCAGTAATGCACTAGTAGATGATATCAATGACAACCCGTATGGCTTAACTATAGAAGTAGACCAGGTACATCCTACAGAAGCTCACTTCCTGGACATTATGATGGAGAGAACAACTGTCCACATAGCGGTGTATCGCAAACCGAGCACAGATTGTTTATACATACCAGCTGGGTCTTGTGACCCTCCACAGTACAAAGTCGCAGCTTTCAAAGCTTTGATCAAGAGAGTGCATATGCACATGCATAACGTGCAAGTCTGTAGTGACGTCATCAGTTCGGGACATCGTTCTGGATCGTATTTCTTAACAATGTCGAACCGCATTCCATTAGGACACGGGTTCCCAATCTATGGGTCGCGACGGGTTTTCTGTAGGGTCGCCAACTTATACAGTAAACTAAAAAAAATATTCACTATAATGCAATTTTTATTTTTAATGGTGTCTTGAAGTTTGAATAATTTCATATATTTTTTTAAAATTAAAATAAGTGTAATCTAGGTACGCTANGTATAAACTTTTTTAAAAAAATATCTACAGCAGCGAGTTTAGAAGTTATCAAACGTTCGAAGACAATCCCTGCTAACAGATTTCCATATCCTCTGACTGAATCACAGCACATGACGTGGATAACTGATGAAATGGTAATAATATCTAATTAATTAATAAACATAAGATTGATGACATTAGTCGGCGGGATGGCCGAAGAGATTAAAACATCAGCCAACCGCTCTGGGTACACTGGATCAAATCCGAGTCATATACTCACTAGGCCCAAGCCTGGAAAGCAGAATTTCGAATACCACAATAAAAAAAAAATAATAATTTTATGTAGAAACAATTCATAAAGGAATTAGTGCAAATTAAAAGCTTGAGTATAAACAAAAGACACATCAGTTAAGTTGTGTTTAATAATACTGTATTTGAATATATTTTGCATGAACAGAGTGGTAGAACTAATGATAGGTTTTTAAAGAGGCCCTCTTAGTGCTCACGGGACGGGAGTCAAACACAGTAGACCCCCTATAACGTTGTAGATAATTCCGCGTTATATGAATTCCATGTTGTACGAGTCACTTAGATTTTACAAATACGTGTGCCGGGCTGTGAACTACTCACGTATTTGTAAAATCTAAGTGACTCGTACAACATGGAATTCATATAACGCTGAATTATCAACAGTGTTCTAGGGGGTCTATTGTAATAATAAAATATGATTGTACGTCGTTTTCCATTATTTGACGTACTGTATATTTATACTATTTATATCATTTCAGTTGCATTCAATTAATACTGTAATAAGAAAAGTACAGTATCTAAGTTATCTTACAACTGTTCCTCCGATAATAAACAACTTATAATTAAACTTTAACAGGAAGTAAAAAATATAAGACAATTCTGAAGCACTATATATATGTTTTTATATCCTGTCGAAAATTATTTGCCTTGTCTTTAACATAGAACGTTCATTATTTAATGTATAATTGTAGCTTTTCTGTTGTAAATTTCTAATCTAAACCTAAATATTTCTAAATTTCTATCTAGAATTAGAAATTCCATGAAAGTTTGATAACACGTTTAAAAAAATCCATCGACTCCCGTCACTTCCTCCGTAAAAACACTTAAAATTGCGTGTGCCATCTGTTATGATATTTATTTTAAAAAATTTCATATTTATATTTGAATTATTATAAAATTAATTATTATAAAATGGCAAAAAGCTTAATTTAGAGATCAGTTTTATATATAAAAAAATTGTAAATGCTAATAACGAGTAAAATCTTCATTAAATCTTACCCAACTATATACGACACATGATTCGCCCACCAATGGCCGAAAAACCACTGAACACTTGTGGGTCCTGGGTTGACGCTTTGCCAACGCGCTGGCCACGTGGAGTTTTCTGAGTTTCTCCACGTCTGTAACGCCTAAATAGAAGCCAGTTTTCCTTAAAAAGACCTCCCGGAAGGCATCCCCTTAGGCAGATCGCCCAAGTGTTACGTTGCCATAACTTAATAAAACAAACAAACCCTCAATAAACAAATCTCCCTGCAAAATTTCAGAAATTTTCGACAAAAGACAAATGAGTTATTAAGCTTTAAAGCGGGTGAACAAAATCGTACCCTCTCATATACAAATCTTGCGAGGTTATTTCTTGACCGATCGCCATACTTTTCCTCTGTTATTTAAAATAGAAAAAGTAAAAATTCAAGGGGTGCGGTTGGTTGTTTGTTT